TATTTATTAAAAATAACATTAATAAACCCATACCATGTTAACATTTAAAAAATGAAAAATAACCATTTTCCGTGACAAAATAATTAGAAGAGTAGCATTGTTTTACATTTTTGTGAATCTCTAGTACCTGGTTTAGTAGAGAACAGTCTCATATGAGCTCCTGCATTCAATCTATTGTGACATATGTCATGTAGTCTCGGGAAAAATCCATTGTTTACTCATACAAGAATGAGAGTGAACAAGGAAAAGGCAGTCTTCGTATTATGAAAACAATTTTGATCTTGCATATTCTCTAGCAGGCTCTTGGTAACTCACAGGGGTCCCTGGACCACAAAAGGAGTGTTACATAGTTGGGCCTGTGATGACAAGGCCATTCCTTTATGTAGCGATGAGATGGGTCTGACCGATGAGCTCACTCCCTGTGGCATGTGCCCAGCGCTGAACTGAGGAGGCATGCCTTCTGCACCGACCGCAGGCACTGAGTGGGAGGCCCTTGATGAGTGGCAAGGCTGAAAAGGCCTTTTGGTCTTGGCAGCACCAGGCGAAGGCCTGTGAGGCTGTCTCATAGGTGGTAGAAAGCAGGGTGGCCCTTGCTCCCTGGGGGCAGGTCAAGGTCAGGAAGACGAGAATCCAGACTGAGTATCATGTCATGCTTTTAGGGGTGAGAGGGCCTGGAGAAACTGTAGACCGAAATGAGGCTGAGAAACTTGTCAACAGTGCTGGTAAAGTCCGAAAACTTTGTAAACTTCTTTTATTTCTGTTTATTTATTTTTATAAAATAATAGTTTATTGATTTTTAGAGAGAGAGGAAGGGAGAAACATCTATGTGAGAGGGCAACATCGATTGGCTGCCTCTTGTGCATCCCCTACTGGGGATCAAGTGTAAAACCTGGGCACGTGCCCTGACCTGGAATAGAACCAGCAACCTTTTGGTGAACAAGATGATGCCCAACCAACTGAGCCACACTGGCCAGGGCTGTAAACCTCTTTTAAAAATTGTGTAATGGCTTTTAATATTTTGTTTTCTTTAGTAAAATTAAAAAGTAATTCCAATTTATCTTAATTGTGTTTGGTGGAACCAAGATAAGAAATTTAACCCTTCCTCTCCCATAATTTAACTTTATTTTTCTAATTGAAAGACACATGTATATTGCCTAAAACTTTGGTACAGAGGAACATAAAGGAAAAAATTAAAATCACCCATGATTTCATCACCCAGAGATAAATACCATTAACATTTTAAAGCACATATCTCTAGATTTTATTTAACTTTATTTATTGTAGTGAGGCCATTTTATACATATTGTTTTATAATAATCTTTTCCTCTTAACAATGTATCATAAAACATGACATCTTTCTCTTTTAAGTAGTATATCTAGGAAAGGCACTTTGGTCACCTCTTAAGGACGAATTTTGGGAGTGTGTGTGCGCATTGTAGGTAATAATGCACCTGCACCCTAGTGGCTTCAGTAAGCAGTGTTAGAAACCTGAAGGAAAAATGGGAAAATGTGTCTTGGGAACGGAGTTGGAATCGCTTGATTAGCCACCTGTTACATGTAGAGATCATCTGTTATGAGTGTTCTTTGCTCAAACCTTAGAAAAGTATGCTTTATCTTGGGAAAATAATAATGAGGAAACTTTTAAGAGACAATTAAGAGGGAAAAAGTTAAGGGAAGTTTGGTAGAGGGTGATTCAGTGTGTTGGATATGTTGAGCAATATCAAGGAGGTCCGGGAGTGGTACTCGAGTTCCTGGTTACTGAGGTTAGGTGGTTTCATGTTGTATCAATAACAAACCTCCATGTGGTTTAGGCTACTACTATGAACTGAAATGGGTTTTGCAATTGATTTTGAAAAATACTTTTAAAACAAGTGAGAGATTCATTCATTCATTTACTCGTTCATTCATTTAACAAGTGTTTACCGAGTTTTACTGTATGCCAAGCAAACGGTACTATATTATTATCATTAGAATTAGTAAATTCTAAGGTAGGTATGATCCCCAGGATTTCAGAGGTTTCTTTCCCATTAAGTGATTATTTTGGATTTTTACCTTTTCCTCCTCTTAATACATTCCTAATAATGTATGGCCAGTCCTACCGGTCTCATAGTTATATGGTTATGTGAAGGTAGCTCAGGCGGATGAATCAACAAGCTGGCGTTTCTGATGGAGATGCAAAAGTACCGGGTTTAAAACAGTAAGAGGGAAGAAAAACATTCAAGATGACACACACCCAGACATTCTAGCTTGATGATCATGTTCCAGGGGTACTTCACAGCAATATCAACAGCCTTGGGCATGTGGCAGAGGGTGCTGCGGAAGGTTGTGCCAGGCTGTCTGCTGCTTGAAAGGCTTACTGGGGACAAAGAATCACAATCATCTTGCATTTTTAAAATTCTCACCATGGGGAAAGCACTTGGCTGATGTTGGAATTGTTTGACTTGACTGATGTTTGCTTTTTGAGGTTTCTTTTTGGGTGGAGTGCTAACCATCATTTAAAAGTAATTTAACTGCATTCCTTAATGCATTCCTTGCCAGGGTCTAAATGATTCTCTCTTTCATTATTTGTGTTCTCTTCAATGTTCAACCCACCAAAATATAGGAGGATAGCAGCATGAGTGTTGGCTTAGACGTCATGTGACACAAGAAGACGCTGGTTTGAATTCTGCCTTTAATACTTATAAGTTGTTTAATCTTGCACAATTTATATTTCTAAGACATGATTTCTTCATCCCAGATTTTCCCTACAATCTGTTTTAGTAGTTGATTTGGGGTTAAAAGACAGTATGTATGTTAAGCATATAGCTTCCCAGAACTCTTATAGTAACTGTTGTTTATGAAATTCATTTGTCAACTAATCACAGACTTGCATTACTGATTTCTGCCTTAGGTTTTGTGGTTCATGTCTTATCTCTCTAGGCATCAGAAGCACTGAACTAACATTTTAGACTCAGCACACATACGGTCCCTGACCTCTTCCCTCACAATATCTTGCACATATCTTTATAATTTTATTTACTACATTGTATTATAGTTATCTGTTTTGTATCTTTATGATTTATCTACTGAATGGTGAGCTTATTGAAGATGGAACCATGTCTGAGTCTCTGCACCTACCAGAATACCTAGCCCCAAGAAGCAGCAAGCAACCTGTGTTTGATGAATGAATAAATGAATGAGAGTGAGGCAGGAGTGGAAATGGCTTCTATGACAGCAAAAGATGAAGACTTTGGATGGATTCTTCTTCAAAGAATGGGAGGCCATCATTCACCAGGGATATGGGGACGGATGGCAAGTTCCAGAAGATAGTTGGAGTTCTGGCTGAAAAACAATAGCTGGGACAGAGCAGGGTAGAGAAGTCAGGAAAGAAAAGAGGATAGATCGGGCTCTTTCAGGCTTGGATCCCAACCCCATTTTTACCTCTGGCTGGAGGCTTTGTCATATAAGTTAAAGTGTGTGACTCAGTTACTTGACAACCCAGAAAAGTGACTGGACTTGGTATTTTATTTCAATTTTGGTTGTCACCAAGTCTAAATGCTTTATGAGGTACATTTTCTCCTTACCTTTACCTCCACGGGAGAGAACACAGCCACGCCTCACAGTGTCCTTATTGGAAACGTGAACTGCTCAGCTGCCACAGAAGCACAGGACGTGGCAAAGCAGAATCTGAGACCACCTCTGGGCTGACTTTTGAATGGGATGATATTTCATTTCTGGTGTGGGGTGAAGGTGTTGGCACAATGGGCATGGTGTCAAATGGCCCTATTGTTTTGTATTATTTAGTGGGTGCCATTTGACAAGATAGCCAAGTAGAGAAAACAACCCATGTGTTGAGAAGAGGCAGAAGAATGGAGAAGGTTTAAACATTAGACAAACATATCTTTCTGTTTTCCCGTAGGTTCTGGATGTTGCATCCATTTGTTAGCTTTAACAATATCTTTTAAATAATTACTTTAGATATCAATCAGGAACCTTTCACTTGAATGCAAAAAAAAACCAACAAAACAACTTTAATTAGCTTAAGTCAAAAAGGGAATTCATTGACTCGCTTAACCAACAGAAGACTCAAGGGCAGAACCAGCTGTAGGCACAGCTGTATCCAGAGGATTAGTGATGATATTGGAAACCTGTCTTTCTTCTTTCACATGGTAGAATAAAATGAACTAAGGAGACCCCAGACTGAGAGCAGTCCTAGTAGAAAAGGCTTCTGCACTAGCTCTACCAGAGAGTGGACAGGTCTGGGTCATTTGCTCCTTGGTCAGACTCACTTAGATGACAGAGAAGCTCCCACACAGTAAGGTGGGTCTACTACTAGATGCTGGGGCTTGATCTTAGGCAAAAACCATAGATATTGCCTACATTGTGCAGGCCTAGGTTATTTTCTATATTTTGGGCTTATCGCCCTCTATCTTATTCTCTGGATCCCTTTCTTTGCTTTTGCACAAATTATGCGGGGTGGGGCAAAAGTAGGTTTACATTTGTTTGTATGGAAAATAATACACTAATTAATAAATAATCACACAAAAACAAACTCTGTTTCACGTACTCACAACTGTAAACCACCTTTTGCACCATCTCATATATGTATTTAAAGCTTCTTTTTCTTTCTATCATCTCTCCTGATGGTGCCCTCCATGCTTGCTCAGCTGTTATCTCGGTATAGAAGGGAGACCTCCTGTTCTTTTCTTCTTTTTTGTCCTCACCTGAGGACATTTTTTTTTTTCATTTATCTGCAGATAGAGCAGGAGGGAGAGGGGGAGGAAGAAAGAGAGAGAGAAACATCAATGTGAGAGAGACACATACGAGCCCAATAGGGGCAGGGGACAAATTGCAATAGAGGTACGTGCCCTTAGTGGGAACTGAACCCGGGACTCTCTGATCCACAGGCCGATGCTCTAACTGCTGAGCCAAACCGGCCAGGGCAGCCTTCCTGTTCTTATGTCTGGCCTCTACTTTTTGCAGAGAAAGCTCCCTCATCATTTCCATCTGGTGTCCCACAGGTATTGCAGCTCAGAATGTCTAAAACCAAACGGACCACCGTCCTTCATGGGTTTCTCTGCCTGGGTTCCATAATCACACCGGTAACAACATCTCTTTCCATTTTCTCAGAGTTCTAACCTCAGAGTCGTTTTTGAGTATTTCCTCTGCATCTGCATCTTATTTCTTCCTTATGTGAGCTCTTATCATTATGCCTCTTGTGAATGTATCACGTTCTCTCCGTTTTCATAGGTATTGGTGTCTCTGATCTATTTCAGCCACCGTTATGTAGGTTTCCGGTTGGAAGGTATTATGACTTGTTTGTCTGTGCACTATAGTAGCCCCCACCTTATCCGCAGTGTCAGTTACCCATCAGCAACTGTAGTCCGAAAATATTAAATGAAAGATTCCAGCAGTAAACAGTTTATAAGCTTTAGATTGTGCACCATTTTGAGCAGCATAATGAGTGCCCTGCCATCCCACTCTGCCCTGCCCGGAACATGAATCATCCCTTTTGTGGGGGCTAAAAACAGAAACAAAAACCTTTTACTCCTACCGTCCAAGTTTATCCAGCTGGGCTAATAGGTCAAACAACTTACAGCAGATTAACAGGAGAAAATAAATTGTAATACATATGCACAGGTAGTTCAGCTAAGCATAACACTGCAAAGACAGTGAGGAAAAATTGAGTATATATGTCATTTTGGACAAAGAGCAAAAGGGGAACTAGATCTTAGATTTTAAAAGCAAAAATGGTTGATTCATAGGTAATGAGGAAGACCGGAACACACATGGTAAACAAATTTCTGCCAGGCAACCGAGAAACTGGGGCACAGGGCTGACCCAGCCATCAGGCCCTTACCTGAACCCCCAAATGCACCACACTCAGTTCAAGTTAGGCTGAGGTGAACATCCTAAAATTTTCTTCCTGGGCAGGCCTTTCCATCTGAATCACTTTGGCAGGAAAAGGGGAGGATCAAAGATTCTTTCTGAGTTTTTTTGTTTCTTAATAATCTGCTTAAAATCAGTGTACCAAAAGGCACAGTTTTTGGTTTGGCACACCTTTGGTTTCCTTCCTTTCGTCCTTCATAGCCATGCTCTGTACACTCTCTGCCCGTTCACTGCTTAGTCGCCGTCTCGGTTATCAGATCAGCTGTCATGGTACCAACGTGCCTGTGTCCAAGTAACTTCCGTTTTACTCAATTCTCCCCAAGTGCAAGAGGGGTGCTGGCAGTTCGGGCCAAGAGAAGCCACAAAACACTTTGTATAAATGAAAAGGGAAATGTTTTCCACTTAATAAGGGAAAAAAGAAAATTGTATGCTGAGGTTGCTAATATTTATGGTAAGAATGATTCTTCTTTCTGTGAAATTGTAAGGAAGGAAAACAGCGTGTGCTCATTTGCTGAGAGAGACCACATTCACATAAATTTTATTGCAGCGTACTGTTATACATCGTTCTCTTTTATTATCGGTTGTTGTTAATCTCTTACAGTGCCTAATTTATAAATTACACTGTATCAAAGCTGTGTGTGTGTGGGAAGAACATAGTATCTGTGAGGTTCAATATTACTGGGTTGCAGGCGTCCGCTGGGAGTCTGGGCACGTGTCCCCTGGTATGAGGGAGCACCGCTGGGTTTCTTTCTTGGTGTCATCCTCCAGCTTCCTCCACCTCCCCCTTCTCTCATCAATATTATACCCTGACTTTATGATTCAAGAAATATTTTTTGAAAGAAGGGAAGAATGTATGTGATAAAATTGTATAATGACATGGTTATTATACTTAGTATTGTTACGGAAAACTAGAGCTTAGCAATGGTTAAAGCAGTAAAAAATTTTATTTAAGAACAATTGCAATAAGGGAAAAGGGACCTTCATATAGAACTGTGCTCAATTCTGAATAGAACAAGAGCAGGGTGGGGCAGTGCCTGGAACATTACTAAGAAGAAATATAGGGGGAGGGGGCGTGGTTAAACAGGCCTCACAGATTTTTGCTGGAGGCAGGCCAGGCTGATCAGGTATCAAGGAGGGGGATTCTCTCTAAACTGACTTAGCAGGATTTGTGCTAAAACTGGGCAATGTAGGTCCCCCAAGGGCAGATACAAGGCTGAGGCTTAGAGGGCTTAGTGAGCCTGACTAAAGTTTATCTAAGTAGAGAATCTGTATCATTATCTAAGTTATAATTTTAAATCTTGCTTAACTCCTTGGCATTTCTTATAAGAAAATTTCAACTGTGTAAAATGTTGAGGGAGGAACTTGCTGTAATCATTCAACTATCTCCTCTCTCTCCCCTCCCTGTACCAGCCTCCTTCATCCCCACTAAAATATGTCTGGGAAAGAAGCAAAAAAAACACCAACCCCCAAACTGTCGACTAGTCAGAACAGGTGAGGAAGAATGAGCAGAGAAAGCAGCAGAAGACATGTGTGAAACTATTTGCGAAAGTGATTTTGAATATAATTTGAGGTCTTTTTATGATATGCATTTAAACTCCCTTATCCCTTCTACTAGTTTATTTTAGTTTGTTGTGTACATAAGGCCCACTTGAGATCACGTTAATGTAGCAAGAGAGCAACGAATAGTAGTTTAACTTAAAATTGAGAAAATGTCTTTAGGAAAAGTCAACCCACTGAACATTAGGGCATCTTCTGGCTGGAAGTTTGCTTCTCATATCACAAAGCTCAAGAGGCCAGAGAAAACATCAAGGGCACTCTTGAGAATAGCAGTGTTGTGAAAACAGATAGAAAGAAAGCTCAGTATGTACATTTGAAGATGCTGAAACCTTATGGAGTTGTTTTAAAGGCACATACTCTTCTAGCTAATCATCCTGAGTTGTTTCCGGTGAATCTCACTAGTTTAAAATTTTATTCATTGTTTGTTTTGGAGGTGCAAGGGTGTGTTTGAGAGGATGTTTGAACTTCCTTAGTGGCTCTACTGGTTTTGTTATTGCCCTCACAACTCAGCCGCTCATCCTGTTTGTTCGGGCTCTGGGAAGCTGCCCTTTCTTATACAACGGCTTTCATTGTTTCAGCTTCAACTTTGTTAAATCAAAGCATAAGAAAAGTCAATATACAAAAGTCTGTTGCATTTCTACACACTAATAACAAACTATCAAAAAGAGAAATTAAGATAACAATTCTATTCAGTTACATCAAAGAAAATAAAATACCTAGGAATAAATTTAACTAAAGAGGTGAAAGACCTATAAATTGAAAACTACAAGATATTAATGAAAGAAATTGAAGAAGACACAAATAAATGCAAAGATATCCTATGCTTATGGATTGGAAGAATCAATATTGTTAAAATGTGGATACTACCCAAAGCAATCTATAGAGCCAATGCACTCCCTATTAATGGAACACATTGTTGACCACTCACGAGTTAACTCAAATTTTCATGCCCAAATGTTGTTGACCGCTCACAAGTTAACTCGTGTTTGCACTTGCATTAACTATTTCAATTTTTGAAACTCAAGGTTACATAGGATTATTGTATTTGTGACTCTTTGCCCTGAAGGTCAAAGTTCGGAAAAAACAGCACACCGTTCTATATTCTCATGTGAACCCCTTTTCTTCCGACTTCTCTGGGCATGAGACCCACCAAATCGAAGGGACGGTAAAGAAACACAATCACAGTGTCGAGCCGTCTACACTTGGACTGTCTTCTAACCGCTTGCAGTTTGAACATACGTATCAAGGATATTGTAAAATCTTTCTTTGTGTGTTCAGTTTATTATTAAAAAAAGTGACTTTTCTTGATATTTAGGTTTTTATTGCATAGTACTACAAAAATCTCAACCATGACGGATTGTGAAGGTGAAGAACTTTTCAATGAATTATATGCAGACACTTTATCTGATTGTCCGAGTGATTTTGAAATATATTGTAGTGATGTAGAGATTGATAGTTGATCGGAAAATAGTAATGAGTAGGATATTAGACCACCAAAGTGACAAAAAAGAATTGTAATAAGATCTGATAGTGAAAGTGATTTTGAAGAAGAGTGGACTGAAAATGATATTACACCAACTTTGGAGGATTATTTAAATATTTCGGTGTAACTGCCGACCTTAGTGATCTATGGAGCATCAGGGAAGTGACAGAATTTTCAGTGATGATTTTTTTGATTTAGTTGTTTCTCAAACCAATTTATACCACCACCAAGTGGAACAATTTTACAAAAATCTACTAAAACTGTACCATGGACGGAAGTTACCAATGCATATTTAAGGAAGTTTCTCGGTTTGTTGATATTGATGGGACAAACAGAAAAATCACATTGGAGGGATTACTGGTCAATGGACCCTTTGGTTGAAACTCCAATATTTCCTAAAACTATGAGCAGAATGAGCAAATTCTTACATTTTTCCATCTTAGTGATAATTCATAAAATACATCTAATGGACAGACTGTATAAAATTAGGCCTCTTTTGGATTACCTTATTCCAAAATTTCAGTCTTTGTATGTACCTAAGCAGGAGTTATCCCTAGATGAAGTAATGATACCATATAGAAGATGTATCAGCTTCAGAACGTATAATCAGCAAAAATAATAAAATATGAGATTTTAGTGGGAATACTTTGTGAAAGTGAGAGTGGATACATTTGCAACTTCGAGATTTATTCAGGTGAAGGAAAAGGCTGCAAGAAACTATATTATCTGTCTTAGGGCCATATCTTGATTCTTGGCATCAAGTATACCAAGATAATTACTACAACAGCGTTTCTACAGCTGAAATATTATTAGAAAAGAAAATGTTAATCTGTGGTATCATAAGAGAAAACCGTGGCTTGCCAAAGGTACTTAAAACAGCGGTTCTCAACCTTCCTAATGCTGCAACCTTTTAATACAATTTATCCTGTTGTATGTGGCGCATCTGCATGTGGGCGGACCCGCCTGGAGATGGATAGAGGAGTGGTGTCTCAGTCCCTAAGACCATCAGAAATATGTGTTTTCCGATGGTCTTAGGTGACCCCTGTGAAAGAGTCGTTCGACACCCAAATGGGTCGTGACCCCAGGTTGAGAACCGCTGCACTGAAAGAGAAGTCAAAGAATCTTCATAGAGGGGAAATGACGTTTTCACATATGTTATATGTGTCCTTATGT